CGTTAGAGCTGGCGCCGTGCAGCAGACAGACGCTGCAGATCACGTTTGCTCCGACCGCAGTATAAAGTTGTGATACAGTTTTTCTTCAGTGTACATTTCAAACTGTGATCTAAACTTAACTTCAGCTGGTTTAAATGCATTTTGGGCAATTTCTGGACGTACATGTCTGATTGGTAAGGGCCCTTGAGCCCAACCGGTGTCTAGCGGCGCCCTCTGGATAATCTCCTTGATAGTGCACAACATCTTTCTTAATCCATATCCACAGGAAGGAGTAGTTTAGCCATTTCTCATGCATGGCATTATGGGGGCTGAAAACTGCTCTCCAGTTCTTGTAATAGTAGGATTGGGACCACACAGGACCCAGGGGCAAAAAGTTTTGGCTCCCACACCTCACCCATGTGTTCCATATGCAGGGATCGAGGCGTCTGATGTCGGTTAAGCACTCTTCTTCTTTTGTTGTTGGGACATGTCTTGCAGTTTGCTTTTTATCATGATGTACAGTCGGGGCAGCATCATGGAGTGAACCATTATATGTTGCAACATTACCGTGCTCGATAGTTGCTACTTTGGCCTTCTTTTTGTAGGTCGTCGGGTGTTTTCTTGCTGGTTTAGTTCTGGTTCGGTTTGTTGCCGGAATTTTGTCACATTTGAGATCATAGTGTCCCCAAAATTCCCATTTGGGAAATATGGCCGAGCAATATATATGTTTTTGAGGTGCTGGAAAAATCGATTCATATTGCCAGTATCCTTGGTATGCCAAGCCTAACAGAGGCCTGCATCCCCAGTCACARTGCCACTCGGGTGGTTCTCCTTCTTGTTGTATCCAGTTACACTTTGTTGTCTTGGTTTCATGCTCTTCCAGCATTTTAACCCATACAACCAGTCCATCTTTCGTGGCTAGTATGTTTGATACTGTCCAATTGTGGTTTTCCGTGAAGTTCTGTTGTGCCAACTCGCTTGTCCAGGCATCCCAATCTTCTAGGTTGTCCTTCCATGCTTCATAACCCATTCTTTTCACTCTGTTCCAAAAATCAGTTCTGTTGGTTTGGTTCCCCCCCCAGGGTAGGAACAGGTTGAGAGCGCTGACACTCCAGCATGTCAAGTTTCCATATTTCGTGTTAGCATGAAACACTTTGGCATGAGTGGTTTCCCATGGCCGGTATCCCACTTGATACAAAATTGACAAAATCAAAGCGACAGCAAGAAACAACGCCAAAAGCCTTAAGCCAGTTTCAACACATGGCTTCTTCTTACAGCTGCAGCCGCAGCTGTTTTTGGGGAGGGGATTTTCGTAGAGGTCGGATCTTCCATCATCGTCCTCTGGGTCCTCTTGGGTTTGTGACATGTAGTTAGACCCCTCCATCTCCCTTCTGATTAGTGTGGCTTTCTGACTGGCTTTTTGTCTTAGAGGATGGGGGTGTTGGCTTCTTCTATTGGGGGGTGTGGTTACAATTTGGGCTCCACCCCCTCTCCTGGGATTATTGGGGTCAATCATCCCACAACCGATCCTTCGGAGGGGAAATGGTGGCAAAAATTTTGTACAGGGAGGAGGTCTACATGTCAACCCAAATTTTCACTTACTTTCTCTCGCTCATTGTCTTGTGCAACCGTGAAGGCACACGGGTCAGGGCTCTCAGGAGCGAGATTGAGTGGCGACGAGTTGATGAATCAGGCACTTTAGGGAGGGGAGCAGGGCCCTCATGTGCGTTGATCTCTTCACGGCGACGTGCCAGAACAGTGATGGTGGCTCCAACGGAGTAAACTCCTTTCAGAGGGACAATCACCATCTGAACTGCAACTTTTACTTTACAAGTCGAGTCAGGGCGGATGGGAGTTGGTGTCCTTTGAGCCACGGATCCGGGAATCTGCAGAATCCCTTGGCGATTCCATGCCTCAGAGGTGACTGTGAAAGTTGTAGATTTCTGTTTTGGTCTTGCTCCTCTCGGACACCAAGCATCGATGTTTGTGGTGTAATAATATAGGTCAGAGGCTCTGACCCTTCCCTCTCGAGGGATCGCCGGGAGCTCTGTTAGTGGGATGAATTGGTTCTCGATCACCTCCTTAATGAGCGAGGCCCATGTAGTGAGCTCCCATGGTCCTTCCCAACCACCTTTCTGTGCAGCTTCTTTCACATCGTCGGCTCTTTCGTCAGGCCTCATGGCCAGTGTCATGGGTTCCCTGTACACCCTAAAGACCACGGGGTGCTCCTGTAGTCCCACTAGGGGTTTTCCAGCTCGAACCCCGTCTGCTTGAAAGGGCCATGCTTTGTCAATTGTTTCATTCAATAGGTCACATCGGAGGTTTTCGGCTTTCCCTTTGTTCTTTGCCTGCTTGCCTGTCGAGATCTGTGTGGCCGGATCCAATGGGGGTGCAGAGGGATCACTTGAGAGTGCAGGATACAAAGAGGGACCGAAGCCCACAGCGGAGGCTATGGCATTGGTGGTTTCATCTGGTGATACATACCTGAGGGGGTAAAAGAGCCTCCTCCCTTGCCATCCAAAAGCCTCAGCTGCTTGAACCAATGTTCCGTTGCATGACAGAGATGAGCATGCAGAGCACCAGTCCAGCTTGTTTCCATCCCAAGAACATCCGCATCCCTCGGGTATCACCCAATTCCGGTCCCACTGAACGATCAGGGTGTCCTGGGCAGAGTATCAATTCTGCATTTCCCACAGATAAAGGCCTCCAGTACCTTTACTGGGCTTCTTCTGATTCCTATCAGGTCAACGTTTGACCTTTGAGGGGAGAGTGGTTTTTCATGACCGGGTCCAACCCACACGGTCTCAATTTTACCTGGATCCAGGCAGACCACACATCCTTTGCTACAGTGGTTCCATTCCACCATTTCTGGATCTGGTGACAGATATCCAATTTTTGCGTACTCGAGGGTCTTCAGGGCCCTTCCGACCCAGATACCCACTGTGCTTCTTCTCATGATTACCAACCCATTAATCGTGGCCATTCGAATGTAGGGTGGCAGGGATCCATCGAGGTCCATGGCCATGTTCATTTCTGGTTTCTTAGCCTAGGGCTGGTTTCAGCTGCTCAACTCCTTGGATTCCTTTCTTCTTTAGCAGCACTGTGTTCTGGTCTAACACTTTTATCACAGTGTCGACCTCATCATACTTCGGTTTGACTGCACTTGTACTGGGTTGGTCTCTGGCTTTAAGCCACACCTTCTGTCCCACAGTGAATGGGCACGCCTCTGTGC